GAGAAAAACAAAAATCCTCACAACTGAACCAATAAACAACATTCTTATGAATGGAGAAAAGACTGAAGTTGTCAAGGACTTCATTCTTCTTGGATTAACACTCATGAAAGCAACAGTCAAGAGATCAAATGACATATTGTATTAAGCAAATCTGCTGAACAAGACCTTTTGAAAGTGTTGAAGAGCAAAGATGTCAACTTGAGGACTAAGGTGCCCCTGACCCAAGCCATAGTATTTTCAATAACCTCATATGCATGCAAAAGCTGGACAGTGAATAAAGAAGACCATAAAAGAATTGATGCCTTTGAGTTATGGTGTTGGAAGAGAGTATGTAGTTGGAGGCTGCCAAAAAAAACAATAGATCCATTTTGGAAGAAGTGCATCCAGAGTGCTCCTTAGAGGCCAAGATGGACAAACTTTGTCTCTCATACTTAGGACATATTGTCAGAAAGTAGCAATCACTCAGAAGGATATCATGTTTGGTTAGGTGGAGGGTCAGAGGAAAAGAGGAAGACCTCAAAGAGATGGATTGGCCAAGTGGCAGCATCGATGGAGTCAAGCATGGCAACAATAGTGAGATTGGCCCAGAATTGGGCAATGTTTCTTTCTGCTGTGCATAATGTCGCTATGGGTCGGTACAGACTCAATGGCACCTAACAACAACAACAAAAGGTAATGTTGCTAGACTTTTCATTTTAAGTAGGTTATAAAGAAAAGCCTCAAATAAGATTGAATTAGATAAACATCCATAAAGGAATATGAATTATTAATTGCTAATGATATTATCTGACAAAATTTAGCAGGCTAGTTCTGGCTACATACTACATAGGCAATTTATTGAAAGGACAGCAAAGGCAGACAGAAGATACAGAAGTGCTGCCAATGTTTGCGGTGAAAATTTGTCAGAGTCCAAATATATTTTGAAAGCGTCACCATCACTAACTATTTGGATGACATGAGGCATGTAAGAGATACGGATGAGTGATGTAATATGTCCAAGTTTTGACTCAAACTATTTAGAGGATGTGGTTGGCACTTAAAAACTTGGAGATCGTTGCTGGAGTGGCAGATTTTTGGAGGAAGATCAAGTTCTCAGTTTTGAATTTACTAAATTTCAATTATCCTGGGAATTATCCAGATAAAATAAGGATTTGTGCTTCTGGGAAAAATAATAGGCTGCATTAATCTATGAGTCATTTTCCTCCAAATGACAGAAGATACTTACAGGTCTAGGGATCATTGAGGCAAAACATTGCATTTGGGAAAATGTTCTGATACTGAATTGCATCACTCCCTACAACACCTAATATCAAGTGATAAAAAAAACAACAAAGAAGAGGATAAGAAGGAAGGCGAAAACATAGGTTGAAAACAGACACACGTAAGCAATGTATGTATTATCCTATTACCAAAATAATAAAACTATTTTAAAGAAGATGTGATTAATAGTACTTAATCTTGCTTATATCTACTAAGTAAAACAAAACTTAAAAAGACAAAATATTGGATATAGAAAGCCATTTGCCTAACAGATGAGCAGGCAAACAAAATAATAAAGTTGCTTTATGTTAGAATTATTGTTCTTGTTAAGTGCTGCTGAGTCTGTTCCAAATCAGAGTGACACTGTAGAGATTTTCTGAAAAGCTGGTGCTTTTGAACAGCCTTGAGATTCAAATCAACTTTGTGGTCTAGTGCTTATCCTACAGTGCCACCTCAGGACTTAGAAGAGAGAAAGCATATCAAAAAAGTTAAGGAAGATATGGGGCAAAAGTTGAAGAAGACAGTGGAGCCAAGAAAACATGCTTCATTTGCTCCTTTGTATGTATGTATGCATTTGTGTGATTAAGTAAAATGATTATGATTATGTTTATCTTCTTTAATCCAAATATTTTGATGTTTTATTGTTTTATGAATACCTGAGTCTGTATACTGTCTATATTAAAATTTGAATATCTAAATGCAAAATCAATTTTCTGCTTTAGTTCATCATGTATAAATAAAACATATGCATTCCCTCATGATGTTTAAAAAATGTTATTTATAACCAAAGAATTAAAATAATCAGATCAATGGATAAGTTAACATCAGGAAGTTAAATTTAAATTACGTTCAACTATTACAAGGTTTTTCACTTTTTTATTTTAATATAAATTCATTTTTATAAATGAAAATTAAAACAAGAAAGCAAGCAAAAAAAAAAAGTTGCTTTAAATTTATCCATGTTATGTTCAAGTTACAGTACTAAGCTTATAGTTATATTATCCCTTATTTACTATAGGCTTAAAATTAAAATTTTATTAACCTATATTCTTAACAAGGAAGTTTAATAGCTCCATAGGATAAGTACATACGCAATGCATCTGGACTATTACCTACAAGTTTGAGCTTACTAGCCCCTCTGTGGGAGAAATATGAGACTTTCTGCTACTGCAAAAATTTGCAACCTTTGAAACCATATATAGGTTTGCTATGAGTCAGTATTCAACAGTAACATTCTTAATAAGGATCCTGTCTTTCAAACATACAGCGATTTCCTAAACATTAACATGCACAGGATTCAAATCTACTAATGCATACTTCCAAAGTACAAGATCTTTTATTTTACTACTTATGTTATAAAGCAATGCTTAATGGAAGAGTAATATAAATACTTTTTTTGTATACAGAGAAGCGCCAATTTCAAAGAAGGTCACTTATTTTGATCTTAATATATACTTACCAACTTGTCTATGAAAAACAGTATCATGAACAAAATCAATCTGTCTCATATTTACAATTTGCAACTGTTAGAAAGCATAAAGTGAAAATTATGTAAACAAATGCAGATTTGTTTTCCTCTGATATGACTTGCCTTCATTATAAAGCAATTTATCAAATTACAAAACATGAGTAAGACAAGCAAAACTAAGTTCTGAGACATCAAAGATCAGAATGTAGCAAGTAGAATACCATATAGCTTTGACTGTTCATAAAGGATAGAAAGGAATTCAAAATTAATCCCTTAGGTAGCCCATTGAGTTTTTCTCAGGGTGTGCCCCTTGAAGTACAAATAAAAGGACTTTCATAGATCAAATGTAAGTCTCATAAGTTAGTGTGCTTATATTTTAAAAATACTAACTTTCTGAATGCTTATATCACATGTTTAATTTGTACCTAGAAATATATTTAAGTGTATGAAAGGAATAAGTAGAAATTTATTGGTTTCTCATCTAATTAACTGAGGGTGGGGTTATGTTTCAAATTTTGGACACACACAAAAAAATTAAACTAGCATAGAAAGATTTCTTTCATACTGACACTGTATAGAGTTTTCAAGGCTGCAAATCTTTCTTTTTCCCTCAGAGAACCTGACAGACTTGAACTGCAGACTTGCAGTTAACAGTCTCATGCTTATCCTACAGAACCACCAGGACTCAGAAGGGCAAAATAATGACTCTTATTTCAGAGTGTTTATTTAAGAATCTAGGAGTTCTCTTGTGGTGTTGTAGGATAAGCACTGGAGCACAAGGACAGTTTAAATCTCAAGGACAGCAGTTCAAACTCACCATACATTCCTTGGAAACCTTATATAGGGTCACTATGAGTCAGAACTAACTCAATGGCACTTGCCAACAACAACAATGAATTTTAGAATCTTAGTTTGAGGAAGTTCTTGGCTGGTTTAAATATGCATCCCTTACATTATCATGTTTTCCCTAATTATTTATGCTTTTCTTATGAGCTTTAATCTTTTTCTTCTTTTTTTTTTTTTAGTGTAATATTGCAAATATCAACTTTTGGATGGTAATTTTATCTTTCAGATTTGATTTTATACCTATATGATATAAAAAAGAAATCAAAATACCTACTGAGATAAAATAGAATATCATACCATGCATGAAATTTTTAAGTTAAAATTAGACTAGTGCATATTCAGGTTTCTGGGCAGTATAAATGATTAAGTACTGTACTACCCATCAAAAGGTTGGTTGGTTCAATCCCACCCAGAAGCTCTTCGGAATTAAGGTCAAGAGTTCTGCTTTTGAAGATTAGAGCTTTGATCTGTGTTTGCTATCAGTAGAAAATAACAACAATTCTTAAAGCAAATATTCATCATTTATATATAGCTTCAGTGGTATTAGAGAAAAAAGCATAGGTTTTAGTCCCTTTCCTGTAATTTATGATCTGTATACATTTAGAATCATTCAAAATATATATATATATTTTTTTTTGGTCTAGGAATAAAAGTTAACATTATTCTATTAATAGAATGATAATTACTAAAAACATAAGTAAACAGTGAGTATAATCTGACAGAGCTATATGGAAATTTTCTTCTTTCCTTCTTATTTATAAACACAGACAACATAATTATAGAGAATCAGTGACAGATTTTTTTTTTTTTTAGAACAAACACACATTTAGTGTTTCTATAAATCAAAATGAATGAAGCTTTACTTTTATTAAAATATTGAACTTTCATAATAAAATAAGTCATTTGTATATTTTCAAACTCATACTGAACATGTACATACCTATATGTATATCTACTATGTAAAACTGCACTTTAAATTTTTAAATCTAAGAAGTATGCACTTCATTTCATCTAGTGAAACATCAGTACATATGACAAAAATTGTATAATATATTTTCAAGCCATTCTTTTTCAGAAATTTGTACATTATGGTTTTGCAATTAGCAGTTTGACAATGCCTTTATCAAGATCAACAATTTGGCTAATTCAGAAATTTTACCCCAAACAATGGCACATGTTAACAAGGATACTATTTAAGTATATGAAAGGTGTAAGTAGAAATCAATTTTTAACTACCATTAACATTGAGTATGAAAGATGAAGTGTATCTTCCATAAAACAATGTATATAAACTGTGTGTACCATTCATGATAGAATCAGGATTTTAAAACAGGTATGTATTTATATAAAGTCTTGTCAGCGTTCAATCAATGGTCAACAATTTTTTGGACAGAGGAAAGAAACTTTGAAAAGATAGAAAACTTACCTTATCCACAATGTGTATTGGTTTTCTTGTTTGAACATCAAGTATTTCAATCTCAAAATGAGTCATTTTTGAATGTTTGCTTAGTGGAGTAGGTTTCAGAGTGCCTGCTGAAAGCACAAGTTGTGACAAAGAATGAAAATTTCTCATATCATTCTTCAATACTGATCGTGAAACTCCTTGTGAAAAGAATTCTCTTTTGCTTTCTGAAGTAAGGGACTTTTGCCTTTTGAACATTTTGTGACCTGACAGGAGAATCAGTCATATCAACAGGAGACACTTGAAAGTGTCTTCCCTTTGCACCAGTTAAATACTGCTGTCAAAACCCTGGAAGGTCAAGTGGCATGCCTTTCCAAGAGTTCAGTTTTATTTAGCAGGCTTCAAAACAATGACTGATCCTATTTCTATATATAACACACCATTAAGATTTGCTGCAATGTAGATAATCTCTTTACCAGCATTTGCGTTATTTTTTTTGTGTGCGTTCTCCTTTTAGCTCAATATTTTAGTATAATCACTAATATCTAAAGTCAAAAAATAAGAAACAATTCTGGAGACAGAATATATGTTTTATCTTTAAATTCTGGATGTACTAACCTCCACATACACATATACTATCAAACACATTCGTATTAAGGTATATGAGCATTGGATATTAGAATAGTGCTATTTTATACATAGGCAGGCATAGTAAATTATTATAAAATAAAAATATAAATGCAGCCTAAGAACCTAAGTTAAAAGATGATTTAAGATAAAAATGATATAATACAAAATGAATAAGTTCTTCATTCCATATGTGGAATAAAAATATAACAAGTAGCCTTTAAGACTGTAATGTATAGGACATCAAGGGCAATTTTATAACTTTGAGAAAGGAAGTAATACAATTTCAAATTTCCCCAATATCATATAGTATTAGAAAACCATTGAGTTAACATACAATTTCAGTAGTAAACATTACATTTGTTATAATGCTAATTATAGAAAATGTAAAATAACGATGAAAAATGGCAATCTGAATAAAGGGGTCTATAAAAAAGACTCCAAATATTCTGAGATGATGTAAATCTGTAAATTAATACAAAGAACAAAACCCAAAATATATGGTCACTGTCTCTAAAAGATACTAAAGCGAAGGATTGTCGGATGCCATTTTCAATTAAAATAAGAAAAGCAAAATTTTTAAAATTATACAACTGATCATTTTTATATTTATGTATATATATTTGGACTTCTGGTGTGGCACTGTAGGATCAGCACTGGATTGCGTATCCACCAGCTGCTCCTCGGAAACTGACTGTGGATTGCTATGGGTCAGATTGACTTGACGGTACTCAACAACAAAAACAATAATATATATTTGACTGCACATTACAGATTAAATATTTCCTTGAACATTGCTGAGCTATAATTTTCAAAATATAGCTAACCACCACAAGTAAATATGTAATAGACAAAGGACATTAGTAGAAAAAAACTCTTTAAATATGAACAATAGTTTAATAGTATTGTGTCAATATTTGTTATTTTTGTTATTAGGTATCATTGAGTCAGTTTAGTGACATCTAATAACAAAAAAATGTATTTAACTTTTGAAAGTATAAAACATTGAATGGTCCTGTACCATCCCCAGGTGAGTGGCAATATTATAACTCATTGCAGTCTCTATTTTATCAGTCCAGCACATTGAGGGTCTTCTTCTTTTGAGCTGACCCTCTAATCTACAAACACCCCTTCTCTGTCAGTTGGTCATACTGTGGTGGCCTCTGTGTCACCCAGAATGGACAAGTTTCAGTTAGGTTTCCTAAGACAGAGTAGGAAGAAGGAGGGACAGACCACTTGTGAATATTAAGTAACTGAAAGTCTTATGAACAGCAGTAGAACACTGTCATATAACACCAGAATACTGAATACTGTAACATGATGAAGAATACCAGGTTATTTTCAGATATAATGCCAGAAGATGAGCCCCAAGTGTGGAAGCCACTCAAAATAATACAAACATCCATTAATAATCAGAACAAGGAATGTACAAAGTATGGAAAATTGGAAGTTGTCAAAAATGAAATAGAATACATAAAGCTCAATATAATAATTTGTAATAATATAATACTAAGGAACTCTGGTAATATAGCAGTTATGAATCAGGCTGTCATGGTCAGCTGGTAAAAACTACCAGCTGTACCATGGGAGAAAGATGATGCTTTCTGCTCCTGTAAAGATTTACTGCCTTGGAAACCCTATGCAGGGTCTCTATAAGTCAGGACCAACTCTACAACACATCACCATCACCAACCAGTGAGCAGAAATGGACTGGTATTGGCCATTTTGAATCCAACAATCACATGGTTATCTATGCCATAAATGGCAAATGAAAGAGAAATGGCAACACATCCATCATGTAAAATAACACTTCAAGACCTATCTTGAAGTAAAATGCTGTTTATGATAGGATAAAATCCATATGCCTATATGGAAGACCAGGTAATACAACTGTTATTAAAATTTATGTACCAAAAGATAAAGGCAGTGATTATATTTTTG